CCCCTTCTTCCCCCCGACTGGCCCCCCATGCCCGTGGGGATTGGTGCTTTGCCACACACACAAGCTGACTCCGCGTCCAACCGCTGTTGCCGTGTGCACACACACACAACAAACAGAGATCCAAACTTCGCACTCTCCCTTTTTCCTTCTCGCCCTCGACCTTCCCGCGCCGCCCGTCTTCCAGTCGGTCATCGAGAAGAACATCATCCCACAGGTGCCCATTGCCCACGTGCTGGCCAAGTACGACGGCGTCTCGTTCCAGGAGGCACGCGGCCTCATTCGGCGCTACAAGGCCACACGCCTGCCGCCGTACGTGGTGCTGCACTTTCGCCGCTTTACAAAGAATGCGTTTGTCGAGGAGCGCAATCCGACCATTGTCAACTTTCCCATTACGGGCCTCAACATGCGCGACTGTGAGTTGGCTTTCCCGTCACGCCAGGGTGGGGCTTACGGCAGAGAAGGTGCCCCCACTTTCGCTGATTGCCTCTCTCTCGTGTGTGCTCCCCCTTGGCACACACAGACGTGGACGACGAATCGCTGGCTCCGCTGGGCGCCATGTACGATCTCGTCGCCAACATCACGCACGAAGCGACGGCGGGCACGGTGCGTGAGGCCTCGGTCTTCCGCGCCCAGGTGCACACGCGCACCGACGGCCCGCCGCTCGGCTCGCCGGCGGAGCGCGCGCGCGCAAAGCGGGAGGCAGAGGAGAGGGGAGAGCGAAAGGAGGAGGATCAGCAGGAGGAGAAGTGGTTCATGATGCAGGATCTCATCGTCGAGGATGTGAATCGCCAGATGCTCTTCTTGGGAGAGACGTACATCCAGGTGAGTGCCCCTCGCGCGGAGAGAGTGGGGGTTAGACGATGGCTGCCCTTTTGCTCATTATTCCTCCCACTCACGCCAGATCTGGGAGAGGCGAGGCGCGCCGGCGGAGGTGGAGCGCCTGGCTCGCAGCAGCAGGCAAGGCAGCTCGAGCAAGGAGGCCAAGGCAGCGCAGTAAGGCCGGCGCGGGCAAGGCATGAGAGGGGAGGGGTGGGGGTGAGCAATGATGCATGGCGCGTATGCCCTTTGGAAGCCGAAGACGTTGCGTTGTGTGTCGGTGTGTGGAGCGCAAGGCGTAGGCTGCACCTCTGTACAGGCGAGGCAGGGCGCGCAGCGTGGGGCACAACGGCGGCGTGGTCGTGGGCGTGGGAACGGGGGCCACGCCGCATGCACCGAGCGGGGCGCTGGCGGATGCGGAGTGGCGCAGCTTGGGCGTGGCGCGGCAAGCGCTGTGGAGCCGCGCGCGTTGGCTCGTTGCCTTGCCATCTCCATCATCCCTCCGTTTGCTGCGCCAGCCTGTCCTTTCCAGGCAGAGGCACCCGTTCTCCACCATTCCTCGTCACGCCCCCGCCCTCTCGCTGGGCACGCAGTCCTTCTTCTCCTCGCTGGGCCGTGCTCTCAACTCGCCGAGCTCCAGCCGCGACTCACCTGCCTCTCCCAGCGCCGCGAGCGCCGCGAGCGCCCGCAGCTACGGCGCGCGACAGTACCCACAGCATCGTACGCTCAGCGCGCGGCGCACGGGCACCGTAAGGCTCGCCATGCCCGACATCACAGAGGCGCAGCAGGCGCACCAACAAGGACAGGGACATGGACATGGACAAGGCAGCGTAAGCCAGCCAGACGCATACGGCGCCATTGCCAGCGGCCCCGACGGCGCATTGCCCGTCGCCGTGTCGGGCGCGGGAGCGGGAGCGGGAGCGCGAGGGCATGGGTGAGTTCGTGTGCAGGGCGGGATTGCTGGGTTCGCTAGAGAGGAGAGTAGAGGCAGGGGAAAGAGAAGGCGAAGCAAGGGCAACAGGTTGGGCGATAGCGTCGCATGTGGCGAGAGGGGGACGGGCAGTTGCGGAGGCGCCGAGGAGCAGTGTATGGATGGGGAGGAACGATTCAGCATCGCATATTCCTATCTAGGCCAGGTCAAAGGATTGGCGGTGCTCGGCGGGGGAGAGAGAGGGGGGAGGGGAGGGGGAGGCAAGCTTGGCGTGGTATGCCCTCTATCTTTGCTAAACTCACCCCTGCCCCTTTCTCACAGGCCCTCGCTGCGCACGCACTACCGTCTCACGCGCCGCGAAGTGCTTCGCGGCGCGGCGAACCGCTTTGTGCACAGCACCGTCTATCTCTACTTCTACGGCGCCATGGCCCTCGCATCCACGCTCACCGTCGTGCTGTCCCTCTGGCAGCCGTGTCCCGGCGCGCTGTTCTACGGATTGGAACTGGCGATCAATGTCTGCCTCATCGCGGAGGTGGGAGTGAGGGGAGTGGCGTTTGGCAAAGTGAGTTCTTGGGGCAGTGACAAGCTGAGATGGGCAAACGCAAATTAGGGGCTGGCGGCATGAGGCGGAGACGGGGTAAGAGATAAGGGAGAGGGCGGTGTGAGTGGGGCGAGG